CCAAGCCTTGACAATGAGTTATCATTTCCCTCCAGGAAGAACGCACAGATGACCAGGGAAAAGGCAGCCTGGGAAAGAGGGGAAACAAAGAGCCAACTAACCCACACAGGGCCCCAGGGACCCGAGGATGAGTGAGGGCCGCCTGTTTCTGCTGGATAGCTTAGGAGCAGCGGAGCCCGGCAGACGGGCCGCCAGCTTCCTGGGGATTCTGCACCGCAGTGATGAATGGTCTCTGAAGGAAGTGGGGTCTACGGAGGAAACAGAGACCCACTTTTTGACTGAGATGCCATATGGAGGAAGGAACTGGGGAGCCCGGTCACCAATTCTTTCCCCAAACTCGCCTCCCCTGCACACCCTCACATTTATAATTTTGAGAACATCTAAGGTGTTTCTGAAAGCACTTTTAGATGATCAACTAATTTTCTCTTCCGAACCAGTTCCCCAAGGCGGGAAGGATTCGTTTTACCACTTCATTTGATAGAGTAGAAACCCCCAGGCAGTCAGGGCCATGCCTGTGACTACTGGGTTTCCAGGGAGTGTCAAGTTGAGACTGGAAGCCGGGGGCTGGAACTGCCTTGGGCCGACTTCTCACTGCACTTCTTCCCATGTGGTAGCGGAGGGCTCCACAGACACTCATCTTCAACCAGGGAGATTGAAGAGGAAAAATAATCAGGGTGGGTTATCCATGAGTCCTCCCCGTGGGGAACTTTGGGCTCTAGACAAAAGTCTTCTCATCTTTAAAAGACTGGCTCCCTTTTGTGAAATGAACAATCTGGCCCATGGTCATCAGCTGTCTAAAAGACTGTTGGGCTACAGCACATTTCCCCATGTGATGCTAAATCCATGTGACCATTATCCTTTTTCTTTTTCCTTTAAAAAAAAAAAAAAAAAAGGCACACCAACCACGTAGCAGCTCAATCAGATTAGTTGTGGTGCTTTCAAAAGGCACCAAAATAGCCGCCACTCCCCCTGCAAAGAAGGAAGGCGCCTTGTTTTCAGGAAAAAGATGTGAAGTCCTCACTCTAGGGCCTCAAACAGATATTCATCCTATGACAAATCCCCCCTTTCTCCCAGAGCCTTTTTCTCTCTTTCTTTCTTTTCTTTTTTTTTAAAGAAAGACTTAAAAATATCAACACCAATAATGAGACAATATTCTCAGCTTACTTCTGGCCAAATTTTATTTTCAGCTTCAAGTAACTGGGAGTTCTTTATGGTCAAGGACAAAAAAACAAGAGGCTGGAAAAACCTCATTAAAAAAACGAACCAACACAACTCACTTGTTTGAAATGAAGTGGAGGCCGGAGGGCGGGGGAGGAGGAAGAGTGGGAGGCACAGCGAGGCCATGTTCTTGGCCAAGCCTCAAGCCTTAAGAAAGTTCCCAGCCGAACTGTGGCTGAGTTACAACCTCGTTCCTAAGAGGATGGCGGAAGGCTTGGAGGGATGGGTGTGACCTCAGCGGGCAGGCCTGGGTCCTCACCAAGAGTGACGGGAGAAAAGGATTCTTTCCGCCTTAAAAACGACTCAGTGTGGCAGCTCCTCTAAAACCCAGTCTTCCAGCACCGTCCCTGGAGTGAACCCCTCACATGTGCCTCATTATAGGAGGAAAGGGCTGCCTGGCCAAAACCTCCTACCACCCTAGGCCCAACGGCCTCTTCCTGGGCCACGTGCCAACACTGCTTTTGCTCATGCATTTCTTCCTGGCCCAAGGACCACAACCGAGCTCTTTGAAAATGGTCCCGAGCTCCTCAAGGAGCCAGAGGATGGACAGGCACCAGGGGATGAGGGTGGGGAGGAGGGCTGGGGTCCATCTCTTAGTCAGAGAGAACCAGCATCTTTCTTTCACCTTTATCTTCCGCTCTGTCCTTCCTTGGGTTAGGGACGTGTGGCCATTTAATTTCATGCCACCTGGATCCAGAGGACTGGATGCTAGACAGAAACTGAGAGCCTACTTCAAACAAACGAGCAAAAAGTGGAAACTGGAGATACCACGTTGTAGTTATGTTTGTAAAGCTCATTAGAAAAAAGCGCAGGAGGCCAAAAGACACTAGGTCAGGGATGCAGAAGACATGAGTTCTAGTCTCTGCTTTACTGCTTACGAATGTTTATAATATGGAAAAACCGTAAGTTCTCTGGGCCTCTTTGTGACAAGATCTGTAAAATGAACTAACAGTAATAATCCCTGCCTATTTCACAGCATGCTTTCAAAATCATCTGAGACCACGTGTACGACAGCCCTTTGTAGATGCGAAAGCATTGTACACGGGTGATACATTATTATTATGACGGAAGAGCTTATTACACATGTTTCAGGCAGATTGAAGAAATCCTCATTGCCTATTGAGAAAACATCTGAAACATCCAAAGCAAATATTAGGAAAAAGTCTAATTACACCCTCTGGGTCCTGTTGCTAAAGCAGGTAAATGTTTCCTGGCTATTTTGTCTAACTGAGCGCTAAATGAGATGCAGCACTGAACTAGAGAGGAAAGGGAAATAATTTTTGTCAATGTCAAAATGGCAAGCCATCAGAAATCTGTGGTTTAGGAAGAAGAAGAAGAAAACAAGATCTCTTAAGCAGCCTGAGATGGCCTGGCAAACTTTGGAATTTAATCTTGTGACATACTGTAACAACAACAGGCCTCTACGGCATAGCAAGCGAATTTGTAAGCATATGATCAATACATTTGACATGTTATTTAATTATAATCTTTAGTGACAGAGACAATATGAAAACCTAGCATCAACATTCTGACAGTGGAATAAACAAATAGACATAATTAATTATTCCTTATACGAATCCCAGCAGAATTGTAAATTATCAGGCCAGCCTGTAGATCTGAATTCTAAGGTTTCCTTAATACGATAAGAGTTTGATGTAGGGGGTGTCACATTGCCAAGATGGTGCCTTTTTATTAGAATAAAAAGCTCTCTGTGGATTTCGGGTTCAAATGGCCAGCATGACCCTGGGTTCTCACATAATGGGAGTGTTCCCGGATCATGGCTAACGATGAGGATATGCGCACGGAAAAGAATGGCGGGGAGGGAGGTCAGCTGAGGCAGAGGCCGGAGGAGTTGAGAATAACTGAATCTTCGAATCCTGGAAGCTCAGGCTTAGAGGCGAAAAGGCTTGGAGAGGTCTCCTACCCCTTCCCCATCACTTCACAGAGCAGGACCAGGGGGATCAGAGAAGAGAATGGCCTGGCTCAGGGTCACATGGCTTCCTGCAGACCAGGTTCAAGCCCGCATTTCCTGACAGACGGTAGGAAGCTCTTCCTCGGGCACATGAGCAACTGCTGAGGTGGTCGGCCAGGACACAGCCCGCATCGCAGTGGCTATTATCATACCAACAGCAGGAATGCACTCTCCAGCCAGGGCCCAGAGAAATTACAGTTAACGTTTAACATGACGGGGCCAACATCAAAGGCGCTGCAGCTGGACTCAAACATGAGAGACGAAACTGCTAACGCTCGCAGAAGCTGCAGGTGGACAGTGCTGGCTGGAAATAGCCCACGTCCCGAGAGCAGGAGTGGCCCCCAGAAACCCCACACCAGGCGGCTGCCCCACAGCAGGGCGGGGAGAAATATGAGAAATAACCTCTGGTCTGTTTGTGGTTCCGTGTGTTATTAAGCTGTCTGTCCCTTGCTAAGGCCACAGGACACTCGGATGTGGCCACGTTTGCACTTAGGGGAGGGGAGTGGGGTGTGGCCGCGGATGACAAGAGGGGAAGGGAGATGGTGCTGCCCTGGGGTCTCAGGAAAGACTACAACCGCAGGAGAGGAAGAGAGGAGATGTTGGCGCTCAGATGCCACCAAGGAGTAGAGATTGCACATCCTGGAGCCGAGAAGGGAGGTTCCAATTAGAAAGTTACTCCTGGAAGCTCTACTCCTGCCTCAAATAGGGGCAGAATTCAGCGGCAGAAACCTGACTAACTGCTGGCCACAGCCATGTTCTTAAACAAAGGGCTGATCCCACCTGCAGGAATTTCTCCTGGGCATGCTTTATCGGGTTCTAGACCCTCCTTCCCATGTACTTGTGGAAGGACAGGAGCAGAAGGCAGGACTGAGCTTGGCCGCTTCCTGCACTTCCCGGGACACCCGCAGCACCCGCGCTGCCTTCGCTGTCCCTTTGCCACTTGGTCTGACGGGTCAGGCCTGCAGAGCCGGCTTGGTCAGGGCGTTCTGGTCTCAGTCAGGGCCAGCTGGCATGCTCCCTCCGGCTGCTCCCGCCTCCGCCCCCGGACCTCACCCAGGTTCTTCAACAAGCCTGCCCTGGGGTGAGCGGAGGGAGGAGGGTCAGCGTCAGCCCCCTGTCCTCGACAGACCACCCGGCGCCTCCCACACTGGACCGAACACCTAGGCTCTGTCCTCCCTGAGGACAAGCCCACCACACTTGCACCGCCTCCTGCCTCGATCAGCTTCAGGTGTCGGGAAACAGGGCCCTGCCTTACCCTCAGTCCCCGCTCTCCGGCCCCACCCAAGGGTCTGGGGGATTCCCAATGTGCCACTGAGGCCCCCTGCCAGTGGCCCCTCCTGCTGCTACTGCTCTACCAGCCCAGCCCTCTGCACAGGGCCGTTTCCTACGGTCCCCATCACTCCATCAGGAGGGGGACCTCCCTGGTCCACGGCCCCAGCACCAGGAACTGTCTAGCTCATCAGGATGACCTCACCCAGGCCCACAAATAAACAGGTACGTGAGAAGGGCTTTTTGCTGATAGCAAAAGGATCAGCAGGCGAATGAATGAAAGAATAAAAGCACACAGCCTACTGTTCAGGCGGTGCTGCTTTCACATTGCTATGACATTCTGCTCTTTGTGGACCCCTGGGTGGGCTCTCTCACTGGCCCCTCGGCTTCGTCCTGAGCTGTGAGGGTGGCAGGAAGGCAAGGAGCAAAGGCTTCCTAAAAGCCTGGCACCAAAATGCACAAATCAATCAAATACCTGGGGGGAAACCACTAAGTACAATAGAAAGGTCATAACACACAAGTATATTAAACGCAGAGAGAAGACACTATGCTTAGGAAGCCTGGAGGTTTTAGGGGAATAAAGCAGCAAAAGCCAGTTTTATTCGTGCTAAACCCACCGCAGAAGTTCCACGAGCCTCCCAGACCAACGGTATCACAGAGGCGGGTGCGGAAAGGACTCTTGGTTCACCCAGGAGCGGCTGCACGAAGGCCTGGCAGTGGCTGGAGTTCGCTTCCTGCACAATCGATCGCATACGTGAGGAATTCCTTAGGGGGAAACAGCTAAACATAATTTAAGTTGAAACTGTTAATTTAATAAACCTAAATGGCAGGAATTGTTGTATATTACCCGGAGGAATGGGGCAGGTGTTTGACTGAGAAGAGAAAGGGGCCACCCCCTTCAGGGTTTCTTTTCTGAGAATTGACCTTTTTATTCCCTCCCTCCCTTCCCCTTTTCCTTTCTCTTATCGGACAAGAAGTATATACAGCTCAATGATCGCACCTTCTGCCGCTCTCAGATCCTCAGGTTTTCCCTGAAAGTATGCCTCCCACTCAGCACACATCTGCTCAGCACCTGCGATGGATTAGACACTATGTGAGCGTGAGGGACTCGCAGACGAGAAGATGAAGTCCTACTCCTGAAGTTCGGTGAGACAGAGAGACGGACAGGTGAGCAAGGCCGGCCGCCAGGGAACCTCTGAGTCTCCCAAGGGCTGACGGAGAGAGAAGGCGGCACAAAGGATTTGCCCCCTGAAATGCCTCTTGAAGGAGAAGCGGGTGGCATCTGGCGGTGGAAGGGAAGAGGAGGTGAGGTGAGGAGGTGAGTGAGGGGACATCGAGGGGACTGGTATGAGCAGAGACAAAGGGCCCGAGACTGGTCAGAATCCAGGCCCACGTGAGGGAGCGTTGAGGGGTGAGGCTGGAGAGTGCTCAGGGTTGGGGAGAATCACTGAGGTCCCTGGCTCGTACCCCTGACTCTGTCGTTAACCTGCGACTCTTGAGGAGAGAGCACAGCACCCAGGAGGAGGGTCAGACGGAGCCGGTCCGCAGGCCCACCCGGGCCTCAGAACGGGAGCGCGGAGGGCACGCCGCTGGAATGTCTGGGGGAGGATTAAAGGCGTTTTCTGAGCACACTGCTCCTCAGATGGGTGCAGAGCAATTCCAGCATCAGACAAATACAGTGACTGCGAAGCGCACTCAAATCTGGAATTCCCTCTGGTGGCTGAAATCAACAATTTCTCACAAAGGAGACCGGGACTGGAGAGAGCGTTTTCTGCTCCCTGCGTACAATTTATTGGCCCCGCATATCAGGTTAGCAAGCTGAAATAATTAAACATCGGGCCAGCTGTTTGGGGCAATGAGGTCACATTTTTCATTTAGGAGACCACACAACAGAGAGGAGAGAATGGAGAGATAAGACCCGCGTTTTGATTTACTGAGTCTCCGCGGCAGATAAAGCCGGCGTTTTGGAATCCTTCAGGCAATTACTATTTCGGGCTTGGCAAGAACTCGAGTCTGAAAGTAACGATTGGGCCTATCTTGGCAGGACTCAAAGTCACTGTAAGTGGTAAGGTTGTCCCAGGCAGTGGGGAGAGGGCAAGCCAGTGGCGAGGGGAAGCCAGAACTCAGAGCCATGAGGGCTGCTGCAGGCTGGGAGCTCAGAGGAGGCCAAATCTGGTCCTCCCACCACATGTTCTTAGAGAGGGAATGCGGTCAGAGGGTGAGGGCCCAGGCCTGCTCGCTGGGATTCTGTGGTTCCCTTTCTGGCATCTGCTCTTGTCCGTTCTGTGGGCGCCGCTTACACCCCCTGCCTTAGTATCCGTGCCTGTAACAGAGGAGGAGGGCTGAGCCTTCTTATGTTTGGGGGAATGGAAAAAAGTGCCACGGGCAGCTTGCCAAATGGTGCTGGTTTTGTACGCGGGAGGGGGTGGGTGTGATGATAGGGACATCAGACGCCCTAAACGTCAATCTTCCCCCTGCCACTCCCCTAGGTGACAACGTGACTTTGGCCAAGTCACTTCCCCTGTCTGGGCCTCACTTTCCACAGCATCAAACCAGGGAGCTGGACCAGGCTGGAGGCTCTCCGAGGGCCCTGCCAGTTCTGAGATGCTGCTCTTCTGAGACGACACAAGATAAGTCGCGGGGCGGAAGGCAAGCAAGTTTTTGTTTGAATGGGAAAGAGAAAAAGCCAGCGTCCTGCCCGCGGGCGTCCCCCACAGGGTCCCGGAGCCAACACTAAGTATGGGGCGGGGAGAGCGGGGCGTCCGAGGAGACAGCAGGCCCGCGTGTGGTCACTGGCGACACCATATTGCAACGTCTCTTGCTCGAGCTGGTCCACTTAATTGGGAGCTTGTCTTTCCAGTTGTATATTTTTATCCTGTGCCCTGGAACCCACACCATGAGGTTTGGAGCCAAAGGCTGCTTCTTGTTTAATCGTTAACCGCCTTGGCCCTGCAGCTCGGCCCCGCGGAAGGCCCTGGTCCAGATGCCGCACCTCCGGGCGAGCGGGGCTCCAGGGAGGATGCGGAGCTGGACCGGGAGCCAAGCTCTGTCCTCCAGCGTTGGAAATAAATCCCCTCCACCGTCTGGCCCACACAAATCCCAGTCCAGCCGGGCCTCTCCTGTGGGGTTATTCTGGTAACAGAATGCTTGCGATCAGCAATTCTTTTCTACTCTTACCCGCCCTCAGTGAGGAGCCAACGGGGCTATTCCTTGGGCTCCACTTTCTGCGTCTGAGATGCGGTTGAAAACTAATATTCCAGATGTTTCCTCACATTTTAAGTGGAACCACAGACGAAGCTTCCGGGAGGAAAGCAGCATGGCACAGTGGAAGGGCCCTCGACGGAGTCAGGCAGGCGTCTGCATTGTGGCTCTGCGTTTCTAGGCTGCATGGCCTCGAGCAAGTAATGACTCTCTGAACCTCGGTCTCCTCTCCGATGGAAACAACAGTTCTACACTGGGAACAACACTTCCACTACTCAGTGGCAACCTCCGCGAGGACCAAGTCTTTCTGATTTATTCCTCATTATGTGGTCCATGCCTCACACAGAGTAGGTTTCTTGATCAATCCCCATGGAGTCCGTGATAAAAAAGACTCGGGATTTTGAGGAGACAGACAAGATTCCAGATGTGAAGTGCCTCGCATTGCACATAGCGCTTGGAAGTGCTTGCTTAGCCCAGCCGGCTTGGCTCAGTGGTTGAGCATCGACCTATGAACCAGGAGGTCACAGTTGATTCCCGGTCAGGGCACATGCCTGGATTGCGGGTTTGATTCCCAGTGTGGGATGTGCAGTAGGCAGCTGATCAATGATTCTCTGTCATCATTGATGTTTCTATCTTTCTCTCCCTCTCCCTTCCTCTCTGAAATCCATATATATATAAGGTTGCTTACTTGTCGGCAGTGCTTGCAAACACACTTCTTCTACCTGAGCCATGTCGATGTTCAAAGGAGGATGCGAATCCTGCGTTATGCCCATTGAGGTAATGAAGAGAAAAGACAGGCACTGAGAAAGCTCTTTGACTTGGAATATTTTCCTAATAAATTCAGAGCTGACCCTCGAGCTCTCGCTGAAGCGCTCTCTCTGGCAACAGAAACCAAAGCCAATCCGAGACAAAGCCAGTGATGCCACTGGTGGCGGTGGGAGGTCCTTCGGCAATACCAATGGCTTCCTGGCCGTAGGGTCTTCCAAGGAGATTGACGAACTGGACCCGGGCTTGGAAACCAGATTTCCAAGGGCCCCTGGCACACTGGACTATTGTCCCAGGACAGAAACAACCCAGAACAAAATGATGAGTGGGATTTTCCTTGCACTGGCCACAATACATATGTTTGTTCAAGGAAAAAAAGTTGGATCGAGAAGACGTGGACGTCTGCTGCTAAAGAAAAGCCCGTTTGTGCCAGCCACAGTGGGGAGATTGTTCGGGCAGTTCATCTTGAAAGTCCAATTATCCCGACAGCATGGCCAAGGTCAGTGTCATTTTGGGGTGTGCCAACACGCCAGCCTCTTAAGCAGCAGATGTGGATTGCACAGGGCATCTGCCTGTGGGAGACCTGGCATCCACGAGACTTGCTAGCCCACCTGGGCTGACACCCTCTTTCTCCTTATTCCCTTCCATGTCCTTGGACAGGCCTGCCTAATGGATACCTCCCCAGATATCCAGGAACCCTAAAGTGTAGAATCCAGATCCACTGTTCTAAGGGGTGATTCAGAGAGACCACCTTTTAATGATGAACCAGGCCCCACAGTTAAGGAGCAGATCAAAAGATCCCCCTTTTTGATTCTAACAGAACTCCCAGAAACCACAAAGGTCTAGAGAAGGGCAGGTCTTACATGGCTGAGCTGGGAAGACACCTATTTGCCCCAACACTTTGACTTGAACATGTATCTTTTAAACACAGGAGGCCAAGTTCCCTTCCGCCCTATATTTCAGAAGGATTTAAGAGCAGCAATTTACCTACAAGTTCCTCAAGCAGCCTAGAAATTAGCACACGCCAAGTTCTTCAAACAGAGAATAATGTGTCCTAATATGGATTTAAAAAACAAATATCTAAAGTTTTTCCAAACCAAACAGCCTGACTAGAGATCCCAAATTTGGACTTTGAAGGATATAACTCCATCAGCCACAGTTAAGGTCCAATCTACTACAGAGAGTCTGTAATCTCTGATGGGGTTGGTTATAAAAATTTCTCAAAAGAAAGTTGATATTTAAATCAATGTCATAAAATAAACTTCAATATATGTTGATATGTAGAGCAAGTTAGGCCCTCCATATAGTATGAGCTCAAATAAGAAAAAAAAAAGGATATACATATATCGCATTTATGTACATTCACACAAAATATGTGACAATACTAGCTAATGCTTATATGGCATTTATGGCCAGGCAGTATTTTTTGTGTGGTGGGCAGGCAGTATGTTAAGTGTTCTGCAAATGTTAACTCATTGATCCTCACAACAACCCTAGGATGTAGGTAAACTACTTTATGGATGAAGAAACTGTGGCACAGAGAGGTTAAGCAACTTGCCCAAGGTCACATAGCTAGAAGAGGCAGAGTTGGGAATAGAAGGCGATATGGACTACTCTAGACTCCATGTTCTTATCTGCTGAGCTAAACTAACACCACTGATCTGGAAGATCCTCAGAAGCCACTTGGAACAAAGCCTTCCCTCTTCTTCATTCTACCTTCCACACGGGCTGACAGAATCGGAACCCTTTTTCTCTGACATTATTTGCCCCTAGAATGATCTGTTTAGATAGAATGAGATTTAGTTTTGGAGGGCAGGACACGGAGGCCTCTTCCTCCTCATGCCTCCTACACTCCTAATTTTGGGTTCATGGCTTAACTTAATGCCAGGGCTCAGGGGAAATGCTGGTTTCTGGTGCAGCCCAGAGAGAGATTTGAGAGTTCTACAGTGCTCTCATCCAGATTATTCATAAGGCCCCTCAACATAGGGACTGGTGGGTCAAAGGTATGGGAGCTCAGACAGAGCAGGGAGGAAGGGCTGGGAATCTGGAAGAAGAAGAAGAAATGTGATCTCTTTGACCCATTCACCTGGCAAACCCATGGCAATT